CCAGTAAACAATCGATTTAACCAACGCTATCTAGCAAATACACCATTGGATGCAGCAGCTCAAACACAAGACGACCCAAACCAAACGGCGGTGGCGGTGGGCTAGAAAATACAAAATGTTAATAACTAAGCACAATTTTACTGTTTCGCAACAACACGTCGTGAATAATTCATTGTACCTACTAAGTATACGACCGAAACTTACCCCACCATTATAAACTCACTATATGTCATTGGGATGGACATTCGGCCTTGATGTAACATACTAACATTACACAGATATAAATATAGGACAGTGGTAAGCATTATTGATTATTGTTTATTACAGTCTTGTTGACCAGCGATAATTCATCATGTCACGTCGCGCCACGGCCATTAATCATTATTATTGATATTAAATCACAGAATAATAGTTATTCTATCATTGCTATAAATACCTATCACTACGTTTGTGATACTATTATAATATTTTATAGTTGTAGTGTAGTTACCTAAAATTAAAATTGATTTGTTATTACTTATTTTCAAACAATTTGACCCACATTCCAACAGTGAGTCAGTGAACAGACTTTGGTAGTTTGGCTTCAAAGCGGCTGTTCAACGACAAGACTAAACAAACACTCTATATGATCATATTATAGAGTATTTGCCATTTGGACTAAGTCTTGTCTTGACAACCGAAAAGGTCCGTCTATTCTGATTCCTGATAACAAGAAAAATGATAAACGACGAATGATTTTTGAAAAATAATTTTCCACAAATGGTTACGCTGCTGTAATTTTGGTCCACACAGGACAAACAAACAAAACGAAACATACTAATCACGAATCACGATTTTTCCCGACACGGATGAGACGTGACATTCTTAAAGTATTTTTTAATAAAGAAACAAAACAAAATCCACACTTTATGTGAGCCCGGCATAACAGATTTATTACTTAAACTTTAAACACCCACCGAGAGATACTATTATTATAATTTATATTAACTTTGCATATACATTATGTTGTTATAATTTCAGTTAATCGAAAATAAAAATTTGTTAAAAAATACTGGGCGTTGGCACCTATTAATTTCGAACGATCGTATAGCTTGGTAAATAGGTATTTAACTTTAATACCTATAGAGAAACCATAATTAATTCCGAATTAATAATTTGTGAATAAAGCATAGGTATGCATTGTAATCATTTTCGATATTGGTAGGGAAGAGAACGAAGGGCCTCAAATTTATAATTTTAAATGGATCAGTAAATTGTGATTAATTTTTACTTCCTCAACAATTGGAGTCGTGTCTCCTATTTAAAATTGAACAGTCTTTATATTACATTACAATAGTTTTAAATTAATGAAACAATAAGCTCCCTCCGTTTAAAATTACTCCCCTTCCCTAATGGCGATAAGGGACGTCTATAATCAATAATGGTTATAGAAATTTGCAATTATTGCTGCTCGAAGAATATCATACAATTCGAGACTTTGAGCGTGTGTGGAATAATAAGTTGGTAGCTTTTGCCCAAGTATTTGAACTTTTTATCGAATATTAATAAATGATTGTGACTATTGCGACCAACAAGCGTATTTTCATGCGGTGACTAATTTTAATGAGAAAAAAAAAATAATAATAATAATATATATTGCGGTCATACCTACTGGCTACTTCCAAAGTTGCAACTTTCTAGCTGAAGCCCGAGACAGGCACACATGTGAAGTAGACATGCGGTTGTGTGAAGTGTGTGCACTTCTGCAGTCTGCGATATCGGTCAGAATTACCAATATTCTTAACAGTCAGAACATACGTGATGTAGAATTTAGACGAATTCACCTTATTGTTCAGTGTAGAACACGGTGTCGATAAGACTGTGTTCTAGGCTTTAGAGTTGGTAGGTATAATTTTAAATAATAGACAAATATTACAAAATGCGTAAATAATTATATAYTACCGATATTGACAAAAAATCCAAGATTATTGAATTAAGAACAATGATGGTAAACTGCGCATATCGATGTTATTCGATAATAGTTATATATATGTGTTCCCAATAGTAAATACAATAATACGTATACACATGCACTATATATATAGCTATATGATATACAATGAAAATAAATAATTTATCGATATAATAATTTCAATAATTTCATTGTGTTTAATTTAAATTTGAAAATATTATCATGCGTAGGTAAACATCGTCACAAATACTTACATGCTATTAGAATTCTCTTTTCCTATATTGAAAATTATTTTATATTTGCTGTTAATAAATCCAATACCATCCATCACGGCTAACTTTGCATTAAATTTTTCATCTTTACCCACTGAAAAATCCTGAAACGATTATTACCAATGTACCTAATACAGTAATACCTATTATTGTTCTAGTAAATTATTCCGTATCGGACATCATAAACAAAAAAAAAAAAACAATAATATGATTTGGTACTTATAATTGGACGGTGTTTTGGAGAAAGGGTTCAAGTCCATTTTTGGTAATTTTGATGTAAATAGTCGATTTTGTAGGAAATTTTGTGCYGCATCGATTGGTCAAACTGTAATGAACCCATCATGTTTTGTTATCAATGAAATTGTCTTGTGCGTTTTGATTCAAGTCATAACGGAAATAATTTGTGTAGTGAGAAACCAAGATCTATAAAGAATCTTCTTTATAGATCATGGTGAGAAACGGCCCAGGTCCGATAACGTGTTTTTACTGATATGTGATAAACGGACTAAGTTATTTTTATAACATATTA